AGTCTATGGGGCCTCTGGCAGTGGAACCAGTATTTATTCCTAGTGCACGGATTTTGGGAGTCCATTCCTTATGAAGGAATACTCTCTCAGCCTAGATACATGGAGGAGGGCTTAGACCTTGCTCCAAATGATGTGACAGACTTTGATGGATCCCCCATGGGAAGTCTCACCTTCCCTGGGGAGTGGATGGGGGGGTGGGATGGAGAGTTGCGGGGGGAGGGGGGAGGACAGGAGGGAGAGGGAACTGGGACTGGTATGTAAAATATGATTGTTTTTAATTTAAAAAAAATAGAGGAGAAAAACAAAACACCAGCTAGGTGATAACATGAAGGAAAACAGAGGGATCTCACACACCTAACAGGTACAGGGGGGAGGGGAGCTGTTTTTGCACTTGTGTGTTAAGAAAGTTTTGGAATGAGCATTCCCCACAGAGCTGTGTGATAAAGTTGTGACAAAAAGAGAGATTTATTTATTTATTATGTATACAGTATTTTGTCTGCATGTGTACCTGTATGCCAGAAGAGGGCAACAGATCTCATTATAGATGATAGTGAGACACCATGTGGCTGGTAGGAATTGACTCAGGACCTCTGGAAGAGCAGTCAGTGCTCTTAACCTCTAAGCCATCTCTCCAGCCCTGTACTCCTTTTCTAACATTTTCTTAACCTAGTATTCCATTTCCCTGGACAGTTTTACTTTGTTTCTACTTTAATGCATACCTACATGGTTTTATTAGACTATATAAACTGTAGGAACCACAAATGAGAAAAAAAATAAAATATTTGCCATTTTAAGACTGGCTTAACACAGCCCTGATATGAAAATATGATGCCTACGCATTAGTTCCCCCTTCAAAAACTCAGACAACAGATCCTGTTGTGCCACCTGTGCTTGTACGAATAATCTACAGATAATTAACGGGCATTGCATTAGGTCACTGAAACTTAACGTCTACGCCAGCAACAGAAAACTAATACAACTTAGGAAAGTACAGGTTCTGGGGGAAAAAACTTTTGTTTCTTTGGTTTTGTTTCACTGGTGTCTTTACTTGGAACTTAGAACAATACAGCACTTTTGAATTAATACTTATTTTTCATATGTATTTACCTCCACAAAATCTATATCTCAAAAGTAAATGAAATGCTTAACCCCCAAACAATATATTGAAAACTGTTATTAAAATGTGAGGACTGGAAAAAAAAAGACTGGCTTAATTCAAGCAGGGTGGTTGTGGTGTACACCTTTAATCCCAGCACTCAGGAGGCAGAGGTGAGTTCGAGGCCAACCTGGTCTACAGAGCAGGTTCTGGAACAACCATAGCTACACTGAGAAATCCTGTCTTGAAAGAAACAAAATACACAGATAAATAAATAAAATAAACCCATTTATTTTAATTTTATGTATGAGTGTTGGCTTTTATATATGTGTACAAAAAGTGGGCCTGGCAACTCGGGAGGCAAGAAAAGGGTGCCAGATCCCCGGGAACTGCAGTTACAGATGGCTGTGAGCCATCATGTAGGTGCTGGGAATTCAACCCCAGTCCTCTGTAGGAGTGGCAATTTTCTTAACTTCCGAAGCATCATTATGGCCTTTGTTGGAACACTTACCTGTTTCTCTCTCCATTTTCCAACAGGCTCTCACACTGTAAGGAAGAAGTCAAACCATGCGAAGTCCAAAATGGGGAACCCCAGCAATAACAGCGCGAGGAATGCCACCCTAGGCCGTTCTAGGTAAGGACTCTTGGTCATGTGACCTTCCTCCATCCATCACTTTACTGACGGGGGTGTGTGTGGGGGTCTAACCTCAGTAGCCGGAAGCCCGCTGTAGGTTGTGCGGTCTCACCCTGAGATTCATGTGCAAGGATCCTAGTTCATGCATTTAACCCAGTTTAGGGAGCACCATTAAATGCTAACATGAAACACCAGGGAAGTGGGCCAAGAGTTGCTCAATCGTAAGCAAACAGAAAATGTCTTCTCATGCCACTCACATTCGCTTCCCCTCTCATCCCTTCCTTTCCCTCTCCTTTTTTCTTTCTTTTTCCTTAAAAAATGTTTACGCTGATCGAGTCATGCTGTGTGTGTGTGTATGTGTGTGTGTGTGTGTGTGTGTGTGTGTGTGTGTGTGTGTGTTTGCACAAACCATGCTTCCAGCTGGAGGTCAGGGGCCAGATTGCAGGAGTCAGTTCTCACTTCTCACAATGCGGGTTTCTGATGGAATGCATGTTACCAGCCTTGGTGGCAAATGCCCTTACTGCGGAGCCATCTGGCTTCTCTCTCTCTCTCCCCTTTCTTTCTTCTTCCTACCTTCCTTCTTCTTTCCTTTCTGTTTTCTGTCCCCCCCCCCCCAAGCTGGTCTCATGTATCTCAGGCTGGCCTCAGACTCCCTGTGTAGCCAAGGATGCCCCTGAACTTCTGATTCTCCTGTCTTCACCACCCAAGTGCTATGGTCACAGGCATGCACTACCATGCTGGTTTATGTAGAGATGGAGTATGGAACACCAGGCTGGTCCTTTGGAAGAACAGTAGACACTCTTAATTGTTGAGCTATCTCTCCAGTCCCATAAGAAAGTCTTCACTCCCTCCCTCCCTCCCTCCACCCCTCCCTTCCTTCCTTTCCACCTCTCCCTTCCTTCCC